TAATTAGGAAAAGGAGTTATAAAAACAAGTTATAGTTGTTGTGTCATCTGTACTTTTATTTGTCTGTTTGTCTTTTTATTTTTGGTCATGGCGTTGTCAGTTTGTTTTCGATCTGTGAGTTTGACTGTCCCTCTGGTATCTTTCGTCCCTCTTTTATAGAAATGCATTTTGTTTCAAAATACACAATAATTTTATATAACAGTGTTTGACTTAAAACGGAGAGATAGATATCAATGAGCAATGAAAAACAAACAACACCTTAAGGATATACTTAGGTCAGGTTAAGGAATTTGTGTCAGATGTTCGGACTACCTGGGTTTCTTCCTACGATACAGGGTAAAATATTTTGCCCCATAACACCCATTTTTCTTTTCATATAAGACTTCAATAGCTCATAAAAGGTCATTTACCAAAATTTAAGCAGATTATAGATTTCTTTTCTTTCGATTTGAGACCCAAATAATACCAATGCAAAGATAGGGTAAAAGTCCGAGTCAGCCTTTTCCCGCCATTTAAAAAAAATTAAATATCTCGAAAAGGAGCTCCATAACCTATCGATACTTTTAGCTTATTTTTTTCCTTAACTAATGCTCTCCTGACTAGTAGTATCAATTTTAAATTCTAACTTTTTTTAATTTCACCTAAGTACATCCTTAATTTAAGAAACATGACGAAAAGAAAACCAACAGTCCACAAAATACTAAAAATGCACAAGCAACAATCAAATCAAAATAGAGATCTCTGATTTCGCTATTCTCATATGATCTATACGAGCACGCGAGTTGTGATAGATCTGAATTTTAATTAGATTGACACATGTAACAAAACATGAAATCAACTAAGGTGGTTCGGAAGGGTTAGAAGGTCATTTTCCCGTTCGTATTGTTTCGGAGTTAAATTTTTGTTACAATCGAGCAAAGACGACGATCTGGTGTCAAGATGCAATACACCGAACATCACTGAGAATACTCGAAATGTTCATCTGGTGCAGTGAAATTGTTGCTGTTAATGTATAAGGTTTGTCGCAGGAAAAATATTGCTTATTTTTTTTATTCATTGTAATTTTTTTTTTTTGGGGGGGGGGGGGGGGTAGAATATTTTTTTATTGTTTGCTTGTTTGTTTGTTTATTTTGATTGTTTATATTTTATTTGTTTTGTTTTGTTTAGTTTTGTTTGGTTTGGTTTCTGTTTTTTTTTTTACATTTTTTGTTTCTGTTGTAAATAAAAGCATCAATGCTTCCATAACAAAAATATGCGAAAAAAAGGTTGAAAATTTGATCACATTGCATTTATTCAAAGTCCTTCATGTTTTATAGACATAATACGAAAAATGCCTTTAGTACCAAGTTCCTAGTCTTTGCCAATACAACGATGAATCCGTACATTATTAATAAGAGTCTGGATGGGATATACAGAGTAGAGAACAATGGGCAAACATAGAAAATAAAGTGCAAAAAATAATAGAGAATAAAGGACAAGACAGAATAAAGAATGGAGAAAAGTGAGCAAAAAAAAATAGAGTTATTGGTGTACTAAAATATAAAGAATAGAGAATAATGGGCCCAAAAATGAAAGAATTGACAAAAACTTATAAAAATAAAAAAAAGAATACAGAAATGTAGAACCTTCCTCCAAGACCCCCATTAACCAACAGTTCTGTCACTTTAACGTTGGATATTTTTCTATAAATTAAATATTCTAGATATCAACATTTTCAATTTCACATAAGGTCATAAAAATATCATAAGTTCTCATTATTGTAAAAGTACTTCTGTTTTAATTGACAACTGTATGTATCAATCAAAGCGAATATTGGAAATCACAGTCTCTGATCTGTTGGCATTTACCTCATTCAGTGGGCGTTATGGGAAAATTTAACCTCATTTAAAAAAACACGAATTAGTTCACGAATACATCGATTTTATGTCCATTTCCCTTAATGGTAGATCAAACATAAGAATTTAAGCTGTAAGAAATATACAGACGAAACACAGAAACAAAATTTATTTGACATAAAAAAAAAATTATTTGACATAAAAATTTTGTAAATGACGCGTATATGATATTCAGAAATAAATGTGAATATGTAGGATGACCGTAAAACTATCTTCCTATATCTATTATGGACAACGTTCAGAAGAAGAACGAAACTAAAAGTGCTATAAGTGTCACGTGGAGCAGGATCTGCTTATCTTTCCGGGCATCTGCGATATACTGAATCACTCTGCTTTCTCTTCTCCTGCCATTTATAAATGGAGTTTGCATATTGAGGGGGTGGGTGAGTTTTTGTTTTGATCTGAATTTTTTAACACTATTTTGTTTTGTTGTTTTAAAAACAGGCGTAATCCGATGCGTTTGCTGTCAATGTACTTTACAGTTACTTTGTTTTTGTTCATGATAGAATATTTTATCTTTACAATACTACGCAATTTTACAGTTTCTGGTAACAGATTACACTGTAAGTTTTCCCCTTTGATTCCCCTTATAGTAGACATCTTCCCTTTTATTGTATTCTTACAACTCTCTCGTGTAGACTGAAGCGGTACTTTGATTTTCTGATATTCTCTCCCTGTACGGTAGTAAGCCGTTCTTTGTTTTTCACTCCTTTTATAGACTAAGATTAAGATTGATATAAAATCCTTGAATACACCTTAGCGGTACTATCTAAAAATCAGACAAAAAAGTCAAGAGGCAATCAAAATTATAAGCCAAAAGGACAGAAAAAAAACATAACTGGTGGGTCTCAATGGTGTTTACAGATTAGAGCATTACATGTATTAGCAAAAATGGAGTGCTTAAATATAAAGAATAGAGAATAGTGGGACAAAAAATTAGAATACAGAAAAATTGGAGAAAACATTACAGACAATGAAGATTCCCTCAATTCCAGACCAGCATAACTTCTAAACAGAAAATAATAAACAACTGTTACCCCAATCCCACGCCATATGGCTACACATTATACTTAGATTGTATTACACTTAATCGTTATTCTGTTTGGTTAACCGTCAACCTTACATTCATTGCAGAAGTAATTTAAAACGTGCTGAATGAAAAGTTTCATTCTATAAAAAAGTGATGAAATTCATACACGTCAATAAAGTAATGTTAGATTTTCATAACAATATTGTTGAGAATTAATGCAAAATGAGGGGATTAGAATTTGGCTTACATGTCAACCAGCAAGTGTTATACACAACACACGTGTTCAACATACGTCATCATTGACGTTGAAGACGAATTAAAAAATAATTTTTTTTAGTCGAAGAATATTGTGTTATTTGTTTATTTTATCATACCAAGCTTACAATGAAAGCTTCACGTGTCACGTACTAATTTACTGTTTTGCAGTTTTTTCACAATGTTTCACATTCTATGATCTGTTAGATATATTACCACAGTGACTGTGTATTGGTCTGACACGGTGGATCGATATTGTACTATTACGTTTACAGAGAACGTTAAAAAAAATTCAGTTATATGGCTGAAAATCATGAAGAAACCATGATAACAAGAAGAAAAAAACTCTATGCATTATAACATTGGTAAGAGTTCCATTTTGTTACCCCGCCCTGCGAAATTAACATTACTTAATGTTTGTTACATGGAAGTGGTCTATGGAACCCTTTCCTTAAACTATGAGACGTAAATTTATATGGGAGGATAAAAGTTCAACAATTCATACAAAAGAAACCGCCTAGGAGGTCTTGGGACAGCATGACACTCTAACATGAAGGCGGTCGTGTATTCGAATCTTAGTCGGGGTGTATTCGAATCCTTGTCGGGTCTTACAAATAAATCTAAAACTGCATTGTAAGTGTTGGTTTTCAGTCGTGCAAGAGACATGCATGAGGAAGGAATTTTGAATAATGTATACGTGAAGGATCACATAGGACTATCATCATAAGTTCGCACTGCGAAAAACCCACTTCAAATGTTATTTTTTTTAACAAAGTAGGATATATTTAAAAAAAATAAATGAACATATACATTTGTAAATCAGATAAGATAATCACCTTGAATATGCAAGAAATATGCACCACTGGACATTTAAAAGTATATTTATATATACGACTGCCTGTCACTATACATGACGTACGTTTCTGATGACTGTGGTCGTTCAGAAGAGCACGATTTGAAAAAAGTGACTTTCATTTACTGTACTTTAAAAGCAAGCTGTAAATATATTTCCGTGATACTGTCAGTCGATTGTACTTTTCCAAATCATGTTGATGAAGCTATTATAGCATCACAAGCCTTGATAACAAATAACAATATATATATTTAGTCACGCTATGTTGTGTCTTTGATCAGGATGTTTGAGCTGTATTCTTGGATTTTGACTCAATGCCACGTTGACCACGGATCCATATTATTGGTTTTATATACTGAGCGTGGTATGCTTTTCGTCCGAATAATCAACCAATGCGTACTTCTTTGCGACTTCCGGTGAAAATGAGATAAGTCTAAACTATTATGAAGTGTTTGTTTTGTTTCCGTGCCTCTATATCTTTTTTGTCTAATTCATGTTATATTTAAACGTATTCAATTGTTTTCTATTTTGTTATGATATAAACTCTAATTTATATTCAAAAAGTTCCAAGTGGTGAAGTTGAAATCATCCATTCAAAAAATATTTGTTTTACAGATGACGACGGATATGTTCCAATGGTGGTTACCAGAATCCTGTCCTCTTTACCTCGAATGTGACCTACCGAATAAGACTTATCACGGTTTGTACTTACATGAGCAACAGGACGGGTTCCACATGTGCAGCAGTATCTATTTACATTTGCAGAGGTCAGAAATCACCAGCGATTTTTTGGTGTGATTCGTGTTACACAGTCTTTGGTTTTCTATATTGTGTTTTCTGTACTGTTGTTTGTCTTTGCGTCGTTTCATTTTTTGCAATGGCATTGTAAGTGTATTTTCGATTTATGAGTTTGAATGTCACTTTCGTATCTTTCGCCTCTCTTTTCTATTGACATTATATTAAACGCTAACAGATAGGCATAACTCTTATCATCATTTTATAGGTTATCAATGTCCTTGTAATCTAACGAGAAACTAAACATGGTAGTCATCTTAATATTATTTGTAATTTGCTGCATTAACTTGGACTCGGTTTCTGGTAGTGATGATAGAATTTCTCGACTTGAGAAGCTTGTTGAAGCACAGAATGTCATGATTCTTGGATTTAAGAATGAATTTGATGTGTTGAAAGACACCGTTAGGATTCAAAATATCAAAATTGACAGCTTGGAAAATCAATTGCAAAGCTGTAAGGCTTGTTTTGATTTCAAGCGGTCCAATAATACTAGTACATTGCTGCCTCATCCAATCTTACCATCTCGGAATAAACTGAATGTCGAGACACCAAAAGTTGGTGTTCCAAACAACAGAATGCAAAAAGGTAATATTGTGAAATATTTTATTTTCGTAGATTTCGACTCTCGTGCATGGATAATACTTAGCCATTTCTAATAAAATTTACTGAATATCGGTACAAATTATATTTGCAACCTTTCTACGAAATCCAAGAAAATCAGAAACCACCGGGTGTAAATAAATCCTCAATATATAATTGATAAGTCAAGTTCATGTGATTATAAGTTGTATGCTGAATTCGTCATTAAAGATGTTCGCTACTCTGTTTCAAAATAACAAGCTTTTTAAAAGACTGTTATAAATTGATAGTATATAAATAAAGGAACTAAAAAAGCAGAAAAAAATAAGGGTCCGTGTGCTTGTTTCCGAGATAAAAGCCATTGAAAATTTGGTGGGAAATAACCATTTTCTTTGAAAAATTATGACAAAGTAACAAGGATTTTATAGCATTTTTCATATACGGCTTTTTAAACTATGTGTTATAAAATTAAGAAAAGAAACGTAGGGGTTAGTGGGGAAAAGTTTTTGACGGCACTAAATGGATAAAACCAGAGGATTCCGAATATCTGGCAAAAAATCAAAAACAAGTGGAGCGAACATCATTAAGCGTGTGCTTGACCATTTACTGTACAACGAATCGTGTATCAAACATATTGCAATTGGGATTGTACATGATTGAGATTAGCCCTATACCTTTATGTCTAAGGTTACTAGACAAATACCCCGCATTAATGGCCTACCTGGGTAGTCTCATGGCAACGTCTTTAATTCGATCTGGATGATCCTTGGTTCAGTTCCCGTCTAGTTGCAACCGCAATCTTACAACTTAAGGTTATACAAAATTGAGCCATCAGTACCATATGTAAGAAACACGAAGAAAACACGCTAGCCAAAAGGAAAAAAATAGACGATAACAAGTCAGTCCATAAAGCTCTATAGAGTCAAATTGAAGTTTTATCAATATGATTCCTTTTAAATATCGGGATTATATTGGAAGGGTAATAGTTCAAGTTCCAAACACTGAATCCGTTCATTATGATTAGCTGCTTTTCTGCTGGTAGATTATCATCATATATATAGAAGAAATTGTAGACAGACGAATGCTACGACTCACTCTTTAAAATCGACAATTATTTCTACTTCTCAACAGTTGACGCTCATATCAAACTAACTTGCAGATATTATGAAAATGATGTCTACCTGCATGTAGAACCAAAACGGCTCTTATCACCTACCCCTCTTAAATATGTGATTTTAACACTCCTCCCATAGTTCATATATGGGGGTAACCCAATGTTCTTCCGACAAAAGTCCTTTAGTGAAGTCAACACGGGAAAAGTTACCAAGGGGACATAAAAAAAAGTAAAATTCGAAAAATAAAGAAAACAACAACATGTTAAAAGAAAAAGGGCAAATATCTACTTAAGAATTTAAATATTGGACAAAACGATTAAGGCGATAGCTTTCCAAGGTGGGTATTACAGTATAAATTTAAAAATATAAAAATTGTTAAAATATATCCTATTTAACTGGCTTGTGTTTTCCACAATAGTTATGTGATTTTGCATTGAAAGGAACTGAGTGTAGACTATTCATGTTCCATACATTTGTATGATTTTCATTTATTTTTAGTACAATATTTCTTTCCTTTGAAGTGTCGGATCAGTAATCATTTTGATATGCTTGTCGCTTCCATATTCTAGATTTATTTTATTAGTTTTAATTTTTCAGATTTAGAACGAAATAGAAGATTACTGCTGTCCGGATCTAACGGTGATTCCCCACCGATTATCGCATTTCACGCATACCTTTCAAAATCGGAAATAGACCCTGGACACCACCATACCATAATCTTTGATTCTGTCCTCTCAAATTCCGGGAATGGCTACAATAATAACTCAGGAACATTCATTGCTCCTGAAAATGGAATGTACGTTTTTGCTTATACCGTCGTTGGGTACAGAGGAAGCAGAATGCCTGTTCATTTGGTTGTAAACAGTAACATTGTCGGAGCTACCGCCACAGATAGTATATCAGATACTAAGTACCCATCAGCCTCAACTGTAGTCGTTGTTTATTTGAACCAGAATGATACATGTTTTCTAAGAACTACAACAAATACCGGTTATGTTGTTGGAAATTTGTATAGCAGCGATTGGTCTAGGTCATCCTTTTCTGCATGGAAACTTTGAGTTGGATTAATCGAACATTTAAATAAAAATACATTCTTGAAATATGTTGTTTGCTTTAACTGTTGACAAGACTTGCCATTTTGAAAAATGAAAAATGAAGAAAAGACGAAAAGACGATAAGACATTTGAAGGTCCCTACTATGTATCGGTTACCTAAACTATACAAAAAACCAGTAAAATATCGTTTCATCTCGGCCTCTAGTAAGTGTTCTACAACTAATTTTTCAGTGCTTTTAACAAGTTCCTTAACTACTATCAAAGAGCTTATCATAAACTATTGTAATAAAATATATGAAAATAGTAGAATTAACTATTTGTGGAGTGTAAAAAAATTCTTTGGATGTTTTAGATAAATTACGTGCTTTTGATGGTCCTTTTGATTCTGTTGACAGTTTTGACTTTTCTACTCTTTACACTACACTTCCACACAATCTTATCAAACAAAAATTTGACTATTTAATTAAATGGTCGTTTGGTAAATCTGAATGCAAAAATAATTGCTGCAACTCATTTAAAGCCTTCTTCTCTAATGAGAAAGGTAAATATGCTAGATATACTTACTGGAGGTGTGATGAGATGATTGAAGCTGTTAATTTTCTCCTTGATAATATTTATGTACGTTTCGACAGCAAAGTTTGTCGACAGGTTGTAGGTATTCCTATGGGCACTAATTACGCCCCTTTAATAGCAGACTTGTTTTTTGTACTGTTATGAATCACAGTTTATGACCAAACTCAGTAAAGACCCGTCTAAATTGCATTTAATTGATAAATTCAACAACACTTACCGTTATCTTGTTGATATTTTTCGTTAAATAATCAAGAATTTTCTCAATATACTGCCGAAATTTAAGCAAAGGAACTTACTTTAAATAAATCAAACTTAAACGGTAACAACTGTCCTTTCCTAGATTTAGATATTTCGGTTTTACACGGGAAACTCCACACTAAATTTATGACAAAAGGGACGATTTTTCGTTCCCTATTGTTAATTTTCCCTTTTTGGATGGTGATGTTCCTTTGGCACCATCTTACGGTGTTTATATTTCACAACTCGTTCGCTATGCCCGTGTCTGTTGTGACGTTTTTGATTTTAACAAACGTAATCTATGTATTACTGGTAAATTATTAAGCCAGGGATTTCGTTACCACAAATTACTTAAAACCTTTACTAAATTCTTCCACAGATATAAAGATTTGGTTTTGAAGTTTGGTTGTACCTGTAGAAAACTTATTTCAAACGGGATTGCACATCCTCATTTTTACGGCAATATTGTTTACCGTGCCCGGAAATTTAGAAACGATCCTGGTAAACTTATCGATCCTTTAAATAAACATATTCTAAAAGGTTACCAATTCAACACTGTAATTAGATCATTAAATATTGTTTTTATTGGTACTTATATTGATTTTGTTATCAGTAAATTAAAAGCAAACTACATATTATTGTTTTATACATATACACATTCATGGGTCTACAATCTGTCGATACCTGTATCTTGGCATTGCACAAAGTCATGTTTTTCTCTGACTGTTTATGACGTCTTTAAACTAAATCCATTGGATGTTGGATGCGTACGGATTGATAATTTAGTCTTAGATGCATGATATTTTTTATTAGTTGTTAGTGGCTTTGAACTAGCTGTCAGTAACTGCGAGTACTCTCAGATCTGTACTTAGTGTCTTTTTTGTTGTTTGGATGTACAAGTACCCAGCCACGTCCACTTGTATTTGTAGTTTTGTATTTTCATCCATCTGATGAGTTAAGCCTCTTTCAACTGATTTTTATAGTTCGTTCTTATGCTGTACTGTTACACCACTGTCCCAGGTTAGGGAGAGGTTTGGAATCCCGCTAACATGTTTAACCCCGCCACATTCTGTATGTATGTGCCTGTCCCAAGTCAGGAGCCTGTAATTCAGTGGTTGTCGTTTGTTTATGTGTTACATATTTGTTTTTCGTTCATTTTTTGTACATAAATTAGGCCGTTAGTTTTCTCGTTTGAATTGTTTTACATTGTCATTTCGGGGCCTTTTATAGCTGACTGTGCGGTATGGGCTTTGCTCATTGTTGAAGGCCGTATGGTGACCTATAGTTGTTAATTTCTGTGTCATTTGGTCTCTTGTGGAGAGGTGTCTCATTGGCAATCATACCACATCTTTTTTATAATAACCACAAACAGTGAAATATAGACAATTAACCAAAGACAGCATCATAAGCATTATTCAAAACGAAAAAAAAATGATAAAAAGTCATTCACGTTACAGTTGTCTGCTTACTTAGAATTTAATACTGGCAAAAACTTCATTTAACATAAAAATATGACTGACCAAATCGATTGCGGTGAACAGCTGTAAAATTGACAATGCAATGCAAGTATAAGAACAAGGAATTTATCAAAAACAAAAAAACTCCTCAAAAGAACGTAGATACCATAGGGGTTGGGCGCCCGCTAACATGTTTAACCCCGCCACATTCTGTATGTGCTCGTCAAGAGTCAAGAGCCTGTAATTCAATGGTTGTCTTTTGTTGCTGTATATCATATTTGTTTTTCGTTCATTATTTTGTACATAAATCAGGCCGTTAGTTTTCTAGTTTGAATTGTTTTACATTTGTCATTTCGGAGCCTTTTAGAGCTGACTTTGCTGTATAGGTTTTACTCATTGTTAAAGGCCGAAAGGTGACCTATAGTTGTTAATTTCTGCGCAACAGTCAGTTTAAACTTGAAACATCTGTTCATCTTATCTATATACATGTTTCAAGGTTATGTTATAATTTCATGGTAAACCAAAAACATGTTAAAGTAGAAAATGACATCGATTTTGTTTATTTAATGTGTAAATCATGACAAGAAAAGGACAGGTTGAATTATCTTTCAAATTAGAAGCTTTGCAATAATCAAGCTAAAAAAAAAAAGAAATGTAGACAACTATCCCTTTTGATATAAAATCGAAAACGATATTTTGGAACAGATCAGATTACATAAAATCAAATGAAACCCATCTTCACAACCATGGATATGCAGTCAACTAAAGAGTAATGAGGCATTGTCAAACACGTAAAACAAAAGATGTTTTCGATAAAGTGTGAGAAATGATTCCGTTTACATTAGAGTGGACTGTATTTCCTTATTTGAATTTTTCAATTTCAATGTGTTTCTTTTTTATGTATTTGTATATTTGATGTTACCTACCTCTTGATTAGAAAGAAAAATCATAATATTACAACTCATAATTATATCGCTTTACACTCTGTCAGAACTGCATTTTCGAGCTGTCTCACTAAGCGTGTATTATATGTGTGTAAGTGTGTGTGGTTATTTTACTATTAATCATTTACAGCCGAACAATTTGACATACATATCTCAGAAGAGTTGTATCCTTGAAGCTCAATGTAAAACTAGCATTTTGATCATACTAGTCCTGTTAAATCGATTTTTCTTGTGTCTGTTTATTTCCTGTAATATTTTTGTTCCATGTCATCATTTATCCTTTCAAAGCATATGGTTTCGCTTTTAGGAGTTCCTGACATTCCCTTAATAATTGTTTATTACTTTGATTTATATCTTCGTTATCTATTTATGAGATTGGTACATCGGTAGACAACCAACTGTTGCCTACATTTATCCTATCTTGGGAGCTGTAAACAAAACAAACTACAACTTGAAAGTATTCGTAAATCAATGCAATACTATTTCTTCACGGTATACGTCAAGGAAATAGAAACTCAACAAGTAGAAAAGACATCTAGAGATCTTCATATGGTCTTCAACAATACACAAATGTCTTTACAATATGCAAGCTCAAAATGGTTCTTAAGTAGTCCACCTGTTAAGTCTAACAAAGAAGGTAAACAACTGTACACTTTTAATAAAACGATGACTGACTAGGTATCTGACTAACAACAGGCACCTAAACATGTTGCTAAACCTAAACTGGAATACTGACACTCTGTCTACAGAAATCCTGGCTCTAAGATGCCCCACACGGAAATTGCACTGGCTGTCCCAATTTACCTTAAGAATGTATGAGGCGAGTTATTAAGTAACGAGGGTAAGTCAAGTGCTAGGATTTTATTTAATAACACTCTTTTGATTAAACAATACAGCTCACAGAGTGTTGGCACTTCAATATCTTTGTGATACGGATGAGCAGCTTAGACATATACTACCTCATCCTTATCATATATTTGGAATATTAAACAAGAGGCTCTCAAGAGCCTGAATCGCTCACCTGTATTTCAGAGGAGAAGATTCTTAAATGTTAACAAACTTGATGAACAAATTGTGTAAAATTGTCTTTAAAGGGCAATAACTCCTTAAGGGGTCAATTGACAATTATGGTCATATTAAATTTTTTATAGATCTTACTTTGCTGAACATTATTTTAGCTTACAGTTTATATATATCTATAATAATATTCAAAATAATAACAAAAAACTGCAAAATGTTGTTAAAACTACCAAATCGGTGGCAACAACCCAACAATGGGTTGTTCGATTCGTCTGATAGTATTAGGGCCGATAGATCTTGACCAATTAAACAATTTCACCCCATGTCACATTTGCTCTAAAAGATTTAGTTTTTGAGATATAAGCCAAAAACTGTATTTGACCCTTATGTTCTATTTTTAGCCATGGCGGCCATGTTTGTCGATGGATACAAACTTCGGATATAATTTATAAACAAGATACCCATAGGGACATTCAGTTAAAGTTTGAAGGTAATTGGCCCAGTAGTTTCAGAGGAGAAGATTTTTAAATGTTAGCAAACTTGATGAACAAATTGTGTAAAATTGTCTTTAAAGGGCAATAACTCATTAAGTGGTCAATTGACAATTATGGTCATATTAACGTTTTTGTAGATCTTACTTTGCTGAACATTATTGCTGCTTACAGTTTATATATATCTATAATAATATTCAAAATAATAACAAAAACTGCAAAATTTTGTTAGAACTACAAATTTGGTGGCAGCAACCCAACAATGGGTTGTTCGATTCGTCTTAAAATTTCAGGGCCGATAGATCTTGACCAATTAAACAATTTTATCCTGTCACATTTGCTCTAAAAGCTTTAGTTTTTGAGAAATAAGCCAAAAACTGCATTTGACCCTTATGTTATATTTTTAGCCATGGCGGCCATGTTTGTCGATGGATACAAACTTCGGATACAATTTATAAACAAGATACCCTAAGGAACATTTAGTTATAGTTTGAAGGTAATTGGCTCAGTAGTTTCAGAGGAGGAGATTTTTAAATGTTAGCAAACTTCATGAACAAATTGTGTAAAATTGTCTTTAAAGGGCAATAACTCCTTAAGGGGTAAATTGACAATTATGGCCATATTTACTTTTTTGTAGATCTTACTTTGCTGAACATTATTGCTGCTTACAGTTTATATATATCTATAATAATATTCAAAATAATAACAACCTCAGATTTGCTCTAAAAGCTTTATTTTTTTAGATATAAGCCAAAAACTGCATCTGACCCCTATGTTCTATTTTTAGCCATGGCGGCCATGTTTGTCGATGGATCAAAACTTCGGATACAATTTATAAACTATATACCCTAAGGAACATTTAGTTAAAGTTTGAAAATATTTGGCCCGGTATAGTTTCAGAGGAGAAGATTTTTGAAATAGTTTACGACGACAGACGACGGACGACGGCAGACGCCAAGTGATGGCATAAGCTCACATGGGGCCCTTCGGGCCCCAGTGAGCTAAAAAGTACATGCCGAATCACACATTTCTGACTGAAAATATACTATTAGCCATAACATGCATAAGGCATTTCCTGGTTATGAAGTTACTTATCGCATCTTTGAACAAAACAAACATATCTGATTCAGTAGTGTCAGACCAGCAATCTTATGATAAGTTATCATCGAAATCTCCCCCTGGTCATACAAAGCTTAACATTATATGCCTGTTCAAGTGGCCTCAGTACGAAGTAAGTGACCCCCGGGATAAAATCGAAGTATCTGTAAAATTATGTACTTAGTTATGTTTATATTGAATTAGATAACTAACTTTAAGATTAAACCATTTATTTTAATCGTACATTTCTTGTTTTGCACATATAGAAGATTAAAATATAGTTTTTTTTTCCAGAAACTATTCTCTATAAGGCAATATTGGTTGTTTCGTGGCCTTTATGACCTGTAACAAAGGTATCTCCGATAGCTGTATACAAGTTTTAAAAAAATATGTCGAGGCCACGAGACTTGCTGTAAAATAAGAGTTTCCTCCCTTGTCATGCTTAATCCAGTATTTTCACTAAACGATTGCGTAATTTCACCTGTAATAAATTGCGTCTAAAAATAAAATGACAAGTTCAGGTCGTTCACCTTCACTGTTACTGCCATGTTTACATTAACCGATATAAAAGTGCAATGAATTGATTAAAATGAGAAACAAAATAGTGTCTTA